CAGATGCCTTCAGACATCAGTGAGGCAGACGAACAGCTGGAGCCTGTTCCCAGTATGTGCATGCGCAGAGTTGCCAGACGAAGAGAACAGCTAAAGAACAGGGGTTGACTTGGGAGTAAGGCCACAAGTGGACGATGAACGGCCCCTCCCAGAGGAAGTAAAAGAGGAGCGAAAGGGGAGTGGAGTTTGCAGGAGACAATTAATTCAATTAATTGGCTCATGACTCTCAGAGACTCCTTGCCAAGTTCTGCAGGATTGGCCTGGCAACTCTCTACGACAGATAAGGTCTGTGAGTGTAAATCCTCCCTGGAAAGACTTTGCTGTATGTGAATGAGCAGAATTCACAGTAAATTAATAAAAGGATTTTTGTCTCATCAGAGCCTTCCCCAGACTCTAGGACTGGCCCATGTTCCAACCCAACCTCCTCACTGTCCGAATCTGCTGCCAGCTCCGCAGGCCACTGGTGGACCACAACAGATGTATAGGTTCCTTAGACACCAGATAGTAGATTCCAAGAATAAACCTTACAAATATATTCCATTCATTGATTATTTCTCTTCTCCTGCTCACCTAGCCCCAAATAGAAAGAATAAAAAAACCTGATGCAATCCAATAAGATTGGAACAAGTATTCTCTTTGCTGTAATATTGAAAGGGATCTGCTTTTTTCATAAGATCAATTTATTTAAAAGTGACCATGGTCCTATTTTCTCCTTGGGAAAACATGCACCTCACACAGATTTGTACCTTATCTGCCGACCATTGCCTCCAGATCAGGAGTCCAAGCCATGCAATCATTGCATTGCAAAGGTTTGAGATCAATAACTGCAAAGGATAGAAGAACTAAGAAGGCTTTTCCTCCACTGGATTTTTATTTGCTGATCTCACAATACGCTAGAAATTAGGCAAGTTTTCTCCATTCTGCCCCTTTTAAAGAAATGCTTGGGCAGCACACACCATTGGCTCAAAGGCTTTGGTAAACAGTTGGATAATAATTCAGTTTAGAATTTCTCCACTGGGCAAAAGGGGGCATTGCTTTCCAATTCCACAATCAGACACAATGATCACATGCTGTAGAATAATCCCATAATTACTTAATAGGGAGGATTGCCATGGGATGTTATCACACTGCCTTATTGGGACCTATTCTGTGCTCATCCAAGAGAGATAGTCCCTCTTTTTCAAGAGGCAACTGGACTTTCTGGTTTTTCTTTGAAGATGTTTTGCTTCTCAGTCTTCAAAGAAAAACTAGAAAGTCCAGTTGCCTCTTGAAAAAGCACCTTTGGGGCAACCATGACCTGGATCCAAGAGTCATCCAGTCGTTTCTAGATACCAGTTGATAGAATAGAGAGCAAGTACCAAAGATAGGGGTGTCAAACTCAAAGCCCATGGGCCAAATCCAGCCTGGGAGTGCTTAGATCTGGCCCACAGGGCTGCCCTGGAAGCAACGGTGCCTCTGCCAGCAAAAATGGAGCCTGTTTTCAGCTGTGATGGCCTCCTGCAGTGCTCTGCCAGCAAAAACGGAGCTTGGGAAATCCTGAGCTCCATTTTCACTGGCAGAGCGCTGCAGGAGGCCATCACAGCTGAAAACAGGGAGGGGTGCCCCCGACACGAGTGATGTCGAACTGGCCACTCTGGCCATTCCCACCCAGCCCCCGAGGTCAAACACAACCCTGATATGGCCCTCAGTGAAATTGAGTTTGACACCACTGGCCTGGGGCAACCCAGCCTATGTCTCTCTCTTTTTTTTTCCTGCAATGACAAGGAAGTTTCAAATACTTTCAGAGGCCTGTTGGTTAAATCCAAAAGCAACAGTTGCTGGGCAATGCGCTTGCGTGAAGCTTAACTCCTGCTGATTGCTTTCATTCAGTTTCCTTGGCAATATTATGGAAGTGGCTTGCTACTGTCTTCTTGCAATACTGTTTAGTTCTCAGTCAAACCAACAGCTTGAGATCAACTGCAGGAGGTCGGTGCTGCAACCTGCTGCAGTAAAATCGCAACCACAAACGGAACAATTTAGATCTGTCCCTAATGCAATCACGAAACATAGGACACTATGAAAACAAAAACCAGTAGTGAAAGAGAAAAAAACCAAAAGAATTCTTCTTCTTCTTTTTTAAAATCATGTTTATCAGTTGCCTTTGGGGAAAACCTGAGAGTTTATGCATTTTAACAGTAATGCTATTTGCAGGAAGAACAAGGGTCCTTAAAAGGCTAAGTACTATATATATGGAAGGTAAATTTCAGTAGGACCAGTATTCTTCCTCTCCACTCAAAATGAGCACTTTACAGTTATATTCCCCCCCCACTTTTTTTTTCAAATACTGCAATCTTTTAAGCTGCAATTACAAGTTTATGGTGGGATGGGAAGAGGGGAGAAAAAAATTCATGCTATATTTCTTTCTGTCATGCAAATGGTAAAAGTTATTCCTCTCAGGTAAAAAATGATTTGCATCAAGATTTTAAGGGGACAGGTGAAGGTTTATATTATATTAACATTCTGTCATGGTTTAGTTGGAATAAAGCTTACATGTATTCATGTATATTTGGGGATATTATGTGAATACAGATGATTCTTGGCTTATGACCACAATTGTGACTGGAATTTCCATAATGACAGAAAATTCCTGGAGGACCCAATTTTATAACCATTTTTACCATTGTTATTAAATGAATCCCACAGTCAAAGCTACATAAATGAATTCAGCTTTCTTTATTGACTTTGTCAGATGCTAGTTTAGATGTTATCAAATCGTGATTGCATGATTTCAAGCTAACAAAATAACAGAAGAACAGAGTTGGAAGGGACCTTGGAGGTCTTCTAGTCCACCCACCTGCTCAAATAGGAGACCCTATACCATTCCAGACATGTAGCTGTCCAGTCTGTTCTTTAAAAACCCAGTGATGGAGCAGCCCGAATTTCTGAATGCAAACTCTTCCACTGGTTAATTCTTCTAGCTGTCAGGACATTTCTCTCTAGTTCTAGGTTGCTGCTCTCTTTGATTAGTTTCCAGCCATTGTTTTTTGTTCTGTCTTCAGGTGCTTTGTATCATAGATTGAACCTCTCTTCTTGTGACAACCCCTTACAGATGTTGCAACCATCATAAAGATGAGCCAGTTGCCAAGCGCAATCATATCTGGGGTTTGGGTACAACAGTCACAAGTTCAAGGGTGGGTTGTAAGTCACTTTTTCCAAGACCATCTTAACTTCAAGCCATCAGTAAACAAACAGCCATAAGTCAAGGATTCTCTGTATACCTGTGATCATAAGGATAAATCTAAACTTCTTCAACATTCCTGTTCAATGTTTCTGTTCAGAATGGCAGAATATTTCTACTAAAACACTAACCTTCAGGAAAACTTTGTGTTAATAAAACTTCTTACTTACAATACAATACAATAGCAGAGTTGGAAGGACCTTGGAGGTCTTCTAGTCCAACCCCCTGTCTAGGCAGGAAACCCCATACCGTTTCAGACAAATGGCTATCCAACATCTTCTTAAAAACTTCCAGTGTTGGGGCATTCACAACTTCTGGAGGCAAGCTGTTCCACTGATTAATTGTTCTAACTGTCAGGAAATTTCTCCTCAGTTCTAAGTTGCATCTGATGTCATGATACAGATACAAAAGAGGGTTGTTTCTTCTTCTTCTTCTTCTTCTTCTTCTTCTTCTTCTTCTTCTTCTTCTTCTTCTTCTTCTTCTTCTT